CTTACCTTTCAAACAAGACTCACAATTAGGGTATGAATCTTCTAATAGACCGAGAAATCCACTAAATACCGATCTTTGAACCATCCTAAGGTTGATTTGTCCAAGCTTAGATTGCCAGAGATATGCTTGATTCATTTTCAAAAAGTTTCTTTCTCTTATTTGATTTAGTTAATGTATTATTCAATTCACTTTGTTGTAAGGTGAGAGTATTTGGTTTAAAAACATGATTGGTTGGAAAAAGTGTGTATTTTATATATTTGTTAGCATATTTTTATATACTTAATTTTATTACACTTACATCATTTTCGACTTATTTATTTATTAGATGGATTTAAGTGTTATGATATATTTGTGATTTATTTTTAAGATATTGGAGTATTTTAATGGACGACGTGACATGAAAAGAAATTGGAGTAGCCAGTACAGAGGTGCCGGATACCAGCCCAATTTAGACCTATATGTGCTAATTGTAGAGTTAACGGCCGAAATTAAATAGTTAGACTATTTTTGGGCTATTAAATTAATGAGGGTCTTGGGTAAATAGAATGGTGGCATGGTGGAAAGAAGATGGGCCCATCTTAACGCATCCATTTATTTATTGGGAGAAAGAAGAGAGGTGTGCAGGCCCAGGAGAGGATTCACGCAGGACAAAGAGAATTATTCACATAGGAGAAATTATTTGAGAAGAGCGATTTTGCTATGAAGCCATCGGATGGCTCAGCTTATGAAACCATCCATTGTTATTCACAAATGATGTATTGGCACGTGTTCTGCAATAAATGCACATTGTAAATGTGTCAGTACATAAAGTTATGGATGGCTCCATAAGGGAGCCATCCGATTGTTCCATAGATTTTCTCTTGAGAAGAGAGCCGCACATACAGATACGAGAAATTCGATCGATCGCGGAAGGAGGCTGCACCCGCACCAGAATAATTTTATTCTGCTTTTTTTATTATTATGTTAGAATATTTTTTATTTCTAGTTCTGAGATGTCGAACCTACGTACTTGGCGATGTTTAATTAATTATGGTAATTGATTATTTTGTTGTTTTTATGAAATTGTTAGTGTTATTTTGGCTGATCAACCATGAAATGTTTGATTTTATTTAGATTGATCACTTAGATATATTTTTTCATGTCTAATGTTAGAATTAAACATTCAATCCGTAATTGTTGTTGTGTTTAGTTCATAACACTACAAAAAAAAAATTCTTACATTCCAACGGAAATTTTTTGTTGGAATTCTTTATATTTTCCGTTGGAATAGCTATTCCAACAGATATTTCTACGTATAAAAATTCGTGGGAAAAACGGTCGTTGGAATAGCTAAAATCCAACGGAAAATTCTATGGAAATAAATTTCTACAACTATTCAAACGGAAAAAATCCGTTGGAATTCCTCAACCATCCAAACTTATTCCAACATAACATTAAGTTTGTTCGAATATTCATTGGAATTTCCAACGGAAATTTCTGCCGTTGGAATTTTTCGTTGGAATTGAAATGTTTTTTTGTAGTGTAAGTTGCAACCGAAAGCTGGTAAGTGTTGGGGATAACACGACATAATTAAGTGAACCACGCGGTTGTGTTTACTACTTAGACTAGCCAATTTTTCTAGATCCTAAAGTTGTTATTGCATTAAATCTAGAGAGCGTGTTTTAGACTATTGAATAAGTCATGTTTAATCGACGGGCTTCTTTTGGTTAAATAAACTTTAAGAAAAAATTCGGATAGCAGAGTGTGTTGTTATCTAGGGCTAGTAATTTTGAAAGATGGTGAATTTGATGCCACAGTTAGTTAGACTAGTCGAGAGTGCGACAGAACCGTGAACTAGAATTTTCTCTTAATTTATTTATTTTATTTTTATTTTCATTGTTT